CCATTCTGCCATGCAGGAATACACAATCAAAGCATCTCTGACAGATGGCCATCCAACCAATGCTTAAAAACCTCCAAAGAAGGAGACTCCACCACACTCCAAAGCAGCGTCAAACAACTCTTACTATCAGAACGCTCTTCCTAATGTTTAGGTGGATCAACCCACTGGGTGATCTTGGGCAAGTCACATGCTCTCAGCCTCAGAGGATGGCAATGGCGAACCCCCTCTCAAGAAACTTGCCAAGAAAACCTTAGGATTGCTCCACCTTGTTGTTGCTGTATGCCTTCAAATCGTTTCCAACTTATGGTGTCCCTTATCATGGGGTTTCCTTGGCAAGATTTCTTCATGGGGGTTTGTCATTGCCATCTAGGCTGAGAGCATGTGACTTGCCCAAGCTCAACCAGTGGGTTTCTTTGCCAAGCTGGGAATCGAACCCTGGTCTCCAGAGTTGTAGTCCAACACTCAAACCACTACACCACACTGGTTCACCTTAGGGTCACGATAAGTCAGAAACAACTTGAAGGCACACAATAGCAACAACACTGACATACATGCATGCATCAGTGTGCATGTAATCATTGACATGCATGTTTGCATCTCTATGTATAATGGCAACTCATGCACAGCTCACCTTCCACAAACTTCGGCTGAATATAAACATTCCACATCAAACAAAATATTCAACCACTTCTGTAGGGGAACCTGTGCATACATAAGCCATGAACAGAATCCCAGCTGTTTGTCTGTCTGTCTGTCTGTCTGTCTGTCTATCTAATCTATCTAAATGAATAGCTGGCATCCTGCTTATGTACGGTTGAAGCATAGCTGTGGCTGAAACTTTATGTCTCATGCTTAATGGCATCCCCAAGAGTTGCCCCTTGTAACATCATCCTTGTAACTACCCCAGGACCAACTTCCTGTGACTACCTCTTGTAAGAGGTAGAATCCCAGAATCCCAGAACTGGAAGAGACCCCCAAGGACCATCCAATCCAACCCCATTCTGCCATGCAGGAAGTCACAGTCCAAGCACTCCCAACAGATAGCCATCCAGCCTCTATTTTAACACCTCCAAAGAAGGAGACTCTACCGCACTCCAAGGCAGCATGTGTCACTGTTGAGCTGTTCTAACCATCTGGACGTTCTTCCTAATGTTTTGGTGGAATCTCTTTTCTTGTAGCTTGCATCCATTATTCCGGATCCTATTCTCTGGAGCGGCAGAAAACAAGCTTGCTCCATCCTCGATACGACATCTGTTCAAATACTTATACAGGGCTATCATATCACCTCTTAACCTTCATTTCCCCAGACTAAACATATCCAGCTCCCAAAGTTGCTCCTCATAGGGCTTTATGGTTACCAGACTTTTCCTTCTCCCCTGGACAAGGTATACAACTGAGCCCGAAAGTTAGAATCGTACAAGCCATTGTTTTCCCAGTTACTTTGTACAGATGCAAGAGCTGGGCAGTGAGGAAAGTGGACAAGAGGAAAATCAATTCATTCAAAATGTGGTGCTGGATAACAGTGATGAAGATACCATGGACAGCCAAAAAGAGAAACAAATGGGTACTAGAACAGATCAAGCCTGAAATCTCCCTGGAAGCCAAGATGAAAAAGTTGAGAATGCCATTCACTCTCAACATCCTTCTTGAATTGTGGTGCCTAGAACTGGACACAATATTCAAGGTGAGGTCTGACCAAAGCAGAATAGAGTGGTACTATCACTTCCTTAAGTCTCAAGATTTTGATCCTAAAAACTCAGAGATTTGTATAATCCTCACCAGGTAGTCATAGCTATCACTTCTTTCTCTGTAAGAGTGATTTCAGCTTTACTCCTCTCTTGATCAGTTGCACAAAATTCTCCAAGTATACCAATATGCAGGAAGAAGGAGCCGGGTAGCCAGGAGCAAGAACAGAAAAGGCGAGAGATTACGCCAGTGGGAAGAGATTTTGCTGGACTCAACAGTTGTGATGAAAATCGGATTCCATCAGCTCCTGAGAC